TAAGACTGGGCATGGTGGCACATGACTATAATCCCAGCTTTTGGGAGGCTGTAAACAGGCGGATCACTACGAGTCTGACCTAGTAGTGAAACCCTGAACATCCTGTAGACCATTCCCTAAAAATACAAACAAACAAACAAACAAACAAAAAGGACACTATGTAAGGACTTTTATTTTATTTTATTTTTTATGTAAGGACTTTTAACCTTCTATGGTTAAAAAAAATGAACTGACAGTGAAATATTCTGCATCTGCTAGCTACATGGCAGGCAGCGTTCCAGGTGCTGGGGCTGTGCTTGCCTGGATTCAAGATAACCAAAGATGGCCAGAAATAAGGAAAAGTGGCTACAGCAGAAACTTGAGAATTGTAAAAGCTGATCATCTGGATAAAATGCAAACAGTTGGCACAGCAAACAGAAAAAGGTCAGTGCTAAATATTCTGCAAAAGCAAGAAGTCAGCATTTGGATAATGGTACCTGCAAAGCCTATAAGGATATTTGTTTGTTTGTTTGTTTGTTTGTTTTTGGTGCCAAGGATTGAACCCAGGGCTTCTAGCTTGCTAGGCAAGCATTCTACCACTAAGCCAAATCCCCAGGCCTACAAGAATTTTTAGAAACCAAGAAGAACTTCAAATTCCGAAGCCTTAGCCATATTTCTGATCTAAAAACATACAGATCAATTATATAAGGAGCGTTCTAGATCAGCAAGTACATACTCTATGAAGGCAGACATTTTGGGGACCAGCACAAAAGCAGCATTGCAGAGTGGGTAGAAGAATTGGTTCCAAAGTACTCACATTTAAATCCTGCCTCTGCCACTTACTATTCAAATACTGTTGCCCGGGCCAGGGAGATGGCTCAGTGGAGTAAGCCCTTCCCTGGCAGGCGCAAGGACCTGAGTTCAATCCCCGGTTCCACACACAAATACTGTTGCCTAATTCTAGTGTAGTTATTTAATTTGTGCCCCCTTGTCTTCATATGTAACAATAGGAGCTGCTTAAGTCTGAATTTTAAGTGAGAATGCATACAGAGCACTGTACTTAGGAGAAGCTGTTACACAGTAAATGTTACATAGGTAAGATTATTATTTAAATGGGGGCAATTCTGACAGGGAAGGGAGCACTGTTAAAAAATTTCATTAGAACTGTACTAAACCTCAGACTGTATTAGACAAACTAAAACATTATGGTCATCCTATAACAAATATGTAAATAAATATATTTACGTATTTATTTTATTGCTTTTTCATTTATGTATTTGGTACAGGGTCTCACTACACAGCTCAGACTTGTAATGATTCTCCTGTTTTCAGCCTCCCTAGCACTAGGATTATAGGCATGCACCACCATGCCCGGACTCCAAATATATATATATTTTTTTTAGTTCACAAGTTAAATAATATTACAAAAACATAAGAACATATGAACAGAGAAAACAAAATGGTCTGCTTTTTTTTTTTTTTTTTTTTGAGACAGGGTCTTGCTATGTAGCATAGACTGGCCTTGAACTCATAACTGGGATTACAAGGTTACTCCACCACACCCAGTTGGCTTCACTTTCTTATATGGAAGCCACATACAAGTTTAGGTAGAAAATACTAACATATCAGTCATCTTCTCTATATCTATGTTACCCTAAGAACCTTTTTTTTTCTGGTCATTTTTATGCCACAGCCATAGGAATGTCACATCTACTTTTTTTTTTGGTTGCAAAACAGGGTATTGAATTTAGGCCCTTATTCTACTGAGCCATCTCCCCAGCCCCCCACATCCACATTTATTCTTTATACTATTTCTATTCATTATTAACTTTATAAGTTTCACTAAACAATGAAGGCTTAAGGGGGGGGGAGTCACAAAAATAAAGTATTACATTTTTTTTTAATTTATTTATTTATTTATTAGAGAGAGAGAGAGAGAGAGAGAGAGAGAGAGAGAGAGAGAGAGAGAGGTGTGTGTGGCCAGCTCAGCCCACCAGGGGGCGGGCTGGCTGGCATGTGGTGCTGGGGGATTGAACCGTGGTCCCTGTGCTTCGCTGAACTTGTTCTAAGTAGGTGCTTTTAGACCACTGAGCCATCTCTCCAGCCCAAGTATTACATTTTTAACTTATCATTTATTTAAAAAAATCAAAATTTTCAACATTGACTAGATTAGTGTAGAAAGTCTTAAAAAAAAAACAACAGAAATATATCCTATGTAAACTACAATGAAAATACCAATAGTATGCTATAAAAAAATGGAATTTTTTCAAGAAAAAAAACCCTTTACCTCATTTATCACACTGAAGGCAGTCTTCACACATGACAGCAGTATGTTTGATACACATATCGCTTACTGTGACAGTATATATATTCTGTTTTCCTGGCCTTTTTGTAGGACATAACTGATATCTGACTGGTCTTACTGTTTTTCCAGGAGGTTCTTATTATGAATATGTAGTTAACAGGAACATAAGATATCAAAAAAATAAAGTACTGGGTTCTTAATATATATATTGTGTATTTAGAATAAACATTAACACTTTCATATCAGCTGTGTGCTTGCTCACAAAATCTAAAATATTAGAAATAAATTCCTGGGGCTGGTGAGATGGCTCAGTGGTCTAAAGCCCTATTTAGAACAAGCTTAGCAAAGCACAGGGACCGCGGTTCAATCCCCCAGCAGCACATGCCAGCCAGCCCCACCCTCTGGTGGGCTGAGTTGGCCACACACACACACACACACACACACACACACAAATAAATTTTAAAAAAAAAGAAATTCCTACATGAACTACAATAAAAATACCAATAGAACTCAAATTTTTTACTTCAATTATCACACCTAAGAAGAAAATAAGATGTCAATAAAATAAAATATCAAATGTGTAATGAGTGCTTAGAATAGAAACCAATATTTTCACATCAGCTGTGTGCTTGCTTACAAAACCTGAGATAACATCAGAAATAAAAACCTGTTACAATGTAACCGGTTATAATGTAAACAGTCTAAACACAGAGAGAATCTTTGCTTCAACTGTCACACCCAAGACAGTCTTCACCCATGACAACTACTTGTTCCATGCATACATCTCATACTGACAGCACATGTGCTTAGTTTTCTTTCCTATGTGGTAGGGCATTCTTGTTACCCTTTTCCCGTTTTGTCAAGAGATTCCTACCATGTTGTATAATGTGCACTTAGCAGGACAATAGCAATAAAATATCATGTGTATGAGTGCTTAGAACAGACATCAACATTTTCAGATTGGCTATGTACTTGCTTACAAATATCAGAAATAAAAAACAATATGAACTACAATGAAAATACCAATAGAACTCTACAACAATCTTTGCTTCAATTGTTACACTCAAGGCAGTCTTCACATGTGAAAAGTGCATGTTCCACACACAAGTATTGCCTACACTGATAGTTCATATATTTTATTTTCATGTCACTTCTTGTAGGATGCAGTTTATATCTTTTTGGTTTTCCTGTTGTTATAGTAGGCTCTTGGAATGTTGCACCAGCCTGTTCACAGGCCAACTCAGCAGAGTGGCCCACAATTTTTCTGTGTAGTTCTTTCTTTGCTGTAAATGATCTTTTATGAGTTCCAGTCCCAGTCCTCTAAGAAAATTTCTCCATGGTATTCTGCACTTACTACTTTCTTTGTAAACTATCAAACTACATCTATGTTGAAGATCGAGTAAAACATAGCCAGTGGTCAGTGCTTTTTGTTTCAAGTGACATCACAGTTGCTGCATAACTCATCAACAACATCTACTCTGCCTTTGGTTTTATTGGTTTGATCTGGTTAGTTTTCTACTTGGACTTTTGCTTTGTTGGCGTTTCCTTATCAATATCTCCATCATGGTGCAATGCTGACATCAGCAGTACCAGCTTATTTTTCTTCACTATGCACAAGGCTAATGTTACATCTTTGTGAAATCCAGAGATTATACTATACAATTCTCTGTTTGGAAACTGCGACATTTCATTTGGAATTTCTGCTTTGTTCCTGTGTACAGTTCCAGTGCCAGTCAACCTGTGCTCTGTTAGCAAATACAACATCAATTGGAAACAGGTAGACCAACTGTCAAATATATTCTGGTTAGTCTGGGAGATGTTAGCAACAAGTCTATTCACAACATCATTTGTTTTATTACACTATGTATAAGGACCTGAATGTTGAATTACAAGATAAATTTCTTTTTGTTTCTTTTGTGTGTGTCTCTATGTGGTACTGGGGACTGAACTTATAGCCTTGTGCATGCTAGGCAAGCGCTCTACCACTGAGCAACATCCCCAGTACTCCAGGATAAATCTCTACACTAAAAGCATAGTAAATCTTTATACTTTTATGCCATATTTTGACCCATGACTCTTCTGTAAGTCTTTTATATTCCTGTGATTACCATAAGAAATCTCTGCTAAGTATAGGAGACCTATGAATGCTTTCAGTTCAGCTAGTGAGCTATCATAAACACAATCTGAATAGAGTTATTTGTGCATACAGAATGTTTTCACTGGTATCTCAGACTTTGTGTATTTCACAGCATCTTGCAGCACTTCATTTGTTAGAATGGCAGTGTTGGCATTCTGTTCAATACCTTTCACTCAACCAGGACCCTCACTATATTTTCAGACCTAGTTCTAACAGTGAATGATTCTATTTGTGTGACCATTTTACAAACTTTATTTTTATTTTTAAGGATTTTTTTTTCTCCGAATGCCTTCAGGGCAGGTTTGGCTGGCTTGAGTTGTGGGGATCGAACCACAGCAACCTGAGCTTTGTTGAAGCAGCCACTTAAAGAACTGAGCTAAGGGGCAGGCCCCTATTTTTATTTTTGAGACAAGATTTTTCCTTGCAGTTCAAGCTGGTCTTGCACTCCCTACGTAGCTCAGTCTGGCCTTGAACTTACAGCGATCTTCCTGCCTCAGCCTCCTGAGTGCTGGGATTACAGGTGTGCAACACCATGGCCAGCTATTCTGCAACACATTGACTAGTCAAATATGTACTCACACTGCTATTTTCGTTGTCATCTGAAGCAAGGAGGTCTGCATTCACTGTCTGTATCAGTTGATTCTTGCTCCATCTCACTGCTACAGGAACTATGGCTCACATGGTCAGTGTCAAAGTCATCATCATGCACCCACATCACTCTTCTGTTATAAAAACATGTATTTTACCATAGTGGATCACCATCACCCATGCATGAGTAATCTGACGGTTTACTTTTGATCTCTTACTAAACTTAAAATCTGGTTTTTCATGTGCCATTGTACTGAACTGGGCTACTTCTACCAGAAAAATCAAAAGAAAACTTTTCTAAAAAACAAATCCTAGAGTGGTGTAGGTGTACTACACATTCTTTGATTCTCAGGTAAATATATGCAAAAACTGTTCCATGAAGCACAACACAGATGTAAATCCTGGTTTCCCACTTCTGCACATGTGCACACACCTTGCCTTTCGTCGTACCAACTGGGTAAGCACAAATACTGCTTCCTATATCCCTCAAAGGAAGGTACTAAGATGCATAGCTGGCTAAAGTTTTACACTACAGTAAAACTTCACAGTAGAAAAGGAAGTATGTATGTGGTCCCCTCTGTCATGCTTGGAGAGCTAAGATAAGCAGACTTCTGTTGCAAATAAATGGTTTTGCTATAAACAATTTCTAAATGCAATTGAATTTATGACACACCAATCAATGTAAAGGAATGAACAGGAAACTAACACATATTGAGGCCTTGCTAACAGTATTGGAAGAAAGATGGTGAGATGCTCTTGCCCTGGGAAATTCTCCAACAGTTAAGTGCATGATGCCTACAGGGTTGATCCTTCAACAGTCCCCAGACTGTTTTGCTGAAGTCACTGCTCAGCAAAAATAGAACATATTGAGAGAAACACTGGGAAAAAATGAGGAAGGTCATCTGAAAACCAGATGCAGTAAAAATGAGAAATTAGTATTTTGTTATATTACATGGTACATCCAAACAGATTAAAACATTCTAGAAAACTAAAATTTGCACCCCCCCCCAAAAAAAAAAAGAAAAAAAATCGTGTGGCAGGTTTGGTTTTTTTTTGTTTGTTTGTTTTTTTGTCTTTTTGAGACTGGGCTTTGCTATGTAGGTCTGGCTGGCCTTGAACTCACTTTGTAGCCAGGCGGTCTCAAAATCACAGTGATCTTCCTGTTTCAGCCTCCCAAGTGCTTGGATTACAGGAATGTACCACCAAACCCAGCCTACAGCAGACAGCTTTTGACTTTGACTTTATAGCATCCAATTTTCTTTTGTGGAATTAGTGCTCATTCATTAAAAACTCAAAAGTGGAAGAAAACAAAAGGAAAGGGAAGGGGGGGAGCAAAGATGAGGAGGAGAAAGGGGGAGAGGAAGGGAGAAAAAGAAAGAGGAAGAGAACAAAGACATTGGTAATTGTGAAAATGGCTCAAAGTGTGAACTACGTTTCAAGGACATACAATGAAATACTGACAGATGAAATGACATGGTATCTGAGCTTTGCTTCAAGATACTCAAAACTACATAGGAGCTGAGACAGTGATGCCAGAATTTAAGACACAAAAGATGGCTAGAAGGAAAAGTGACCATGGTATAGACTTGAGGATTGCCAAAAGCTGGTCATCACCCGAACATCTCGAGAGGATGTCCATATCTGGCATGATGACCAGGAAAACAGCAAGTGTTCCATGTTCTAAGAAAAAAAGACATTAGCAATTGGCTTGATCTAGCAGGACCTGAGGAGCCTACGTGAGTTGGATGAAGTAAGACTGGCCGTGAATTCATGATTGTTCAGGTTACATAACCAGTAAATGGGAATTATTCTATTTAATTTTTGGAAGTATAAAATTTTTGCAAATTAAAGGGGTTTTTTTTGATACATTTACACACAGTCCCAATTTTATAAAAGCACCTCTGTCCTTTCTCTATGTTTCTATCTATATACATGCATAGAAAGATATCTAGAAATATTCACACAGTTAATAATGTGTATTTCTGGGCACTAAGATTTTTGGAGAACTTCATTCTTTCATCTTTGAACTTTCTACATTGTTTGAACTCAAAATAATGGTTAAGTACTGATTTCTCAAAAATAATGGGAATGACATTTTTTCCCAAAACTAATGGGGTGATAGCTCTTAAACCAAAAACTAAAGTCAAATATAATTTTAGTATATATGAACAAAAATTAAATTTTATTAGGGAGAATATGGATGATTATTTTCTAGTTATAATTTCTTCCCCCTCGCCCTTATGGAGGATTTAACCTAGTGCCTCCCATAGGCTCAGCAAATGCTCTATCACTGAGCTATACATACCCCAGCCATTTAAAAAAAAAAAGAGATTGTCTTGCTATAAGTAGCCCAGATCGGCCTCGAATTCTTAATCTTTCTGTCTCAGCCTCCTGGGTAGATGGGTTAACAGGCATATACCACCACGTATTATCTTTAATCAAAAGTAAAATAACCAAGCATTTGTGAAAATTCACCACCACAGGGCTTTTCAACTTCAGCACTACTGACCATTAGGGTCAAATAATTCTGTTATGGAGATCTGTATGGTACACTGTAGTGTATTTAATACAATCCTACACTCTACCCACTAAGTGAACCCAGTAGCACTACTGTCATCCCATCTATTGTGACAACTAAATGTGAAAGGCAAAATCACCCCCAGCTAAGAATCACTGCTCTAAGCAAGGCGTGCCTGTAATAACAAAAATTAAGATTAAGCAATATTCAGAAAATTAAATACTAATTAAATAAAAATTCAGTGTTTCAAAACAATTGAAGTAAGAAAAAGTTTTCATGATAGCAAAGAAGTACTAAGAGTAAAACATAAGATAAATACTGGAATGGCAAGTAAATGACCAGCACTTCT